TTGACATGAAATTTGAACAAAATCTAAATATCACTTAGGTGTTCAGATGTATTATTTCTAAAGATTTTAATATTTATGGGCTGAAATGACAATTGCTGCTGACAGATTTTCTCAGCTAAAGCCACAGTTGCTACCTTAGCTAACAATAACTCCACGAGTTAGTTGAAAATTCCAAATGACTTTCTAATGCTTCCTATGGGCTCAGTAAAACAAAGACCCTGTAAAATGTATCTTAAATTTGCCCTTGCTGGTGATATTGTGCTGTAGGACTAAGACTTAAACCAGCTGATCTCAGGCAATAAAATTTGCACCCTAATGTTTTTGCTTTCACAGTAATATTTTCACTTTTGGGACAGCTGCCACACCTGGCTTCGCAGCATTATCCACTTGGTTTTGTGCAAGCTAAAAAATAAATAAAAAACAGGATTCTCACCAGAGTGTCGCTGTTTGGGGTATATGGAGAAATGCCAGTTTTGACAAGACTGCCAAGCCTAGTTAGTGTCTAAATTACAATTGGAAAATTCCAAAAGCTGCTTTCTCCTTGAAATGAGCCTCATCTATTTGTCTGCGATGTACACAACTGCATCAGTGTCAACATGTCTGGCAGATGAGTACGTTTTTAATAACACCAACTGTTATTGAAAAAATAAGTACAACCGACTGATTTCATTAACTTTTAACATGAAAAAGGATTGTGCTGCTAGAATCAAGATCTGCCAATTCTACAGTGAGTGAGCTCTGTTAAACCTACACACCACCAATATAACCAGCACCAATGAGCACCCAGACAGTGTGGAGGCCTGTCTTACTCCCCTACAGCTTTTTATTATTCCTTATCATTATCTGTAATGTGCAGTTTAGTTTGGCTCAGTCTTTTAAATTCTTTCTCTTTACCAATTTTCTATTTCATTCTCTCTCTTCTCCCACTCATTCATCCTCCACCTGTTATCTCTGCCTTCTCTATTTTACCCCTCCTCTACGGCACGGTTCTCTTCTTCCTCTGCTGTCTTTTCTTTGCTCTCATCTTTTTTCCTGCCCATTATTCACTACATCTACTTATTTTACGCCCTCTTTTACCTCTTTCTTTCACCCCATCTCTTCTGCTCTTTCAGTCCTCTTTCACCTCTCTTCCTCTCTTTGTCTCCTCTCCCTCCTTCCTTGTAAAAGCTGAATCCCAAAAGCATCTTTGCTCCCAGACTGTTCCTCCTAAGTTAACTGAACTATGATGATCTCAGCGTAAAGTACATTGCAAACCAAACAGTAGTGCAGTTGAGTAAACAATATGAGTGTTAAGAGAGGAGACAACATGCTCGGAGTGTGCCAACAACACCTGTGAAGCCAGGTGGCACAGTCTGCAACACGGGGTGTAATGAAAGGGTGAGGGAACAAGCAGAAGGGGAACGAAAGGAGGAACTGACAATAAAACTGGAGACATACATTGAGAGAGAGTGTTATCCATCCTAAACACTGTACATTCCTAACTGATGGTTGGCATGCTCACGATCCTGAAGAATAAGTTGGTTACAAAAACAAATGGATGGATGATTATCAAAATGGCAAACCACGTCACTGCACCGAAAAAAATCTGCAGGTATTATTTCTGCATGTATGTGCACTGTCCTTAAACGTTGTACAGCAGTGGGAACATGCTTACAAAGAATTTCACATGGAACTGAAATATTGATTGCTTTTCATGTCACTTTGCACAAACAAAAAAGTGGAGTCAGTCAAGGTTAAACAGTGATTACTCTTTTATGAAAATTCAGCTACGCTCTGTCCTTGCCTTTATCCTTCAGCTGCACAGATTCCTTCAGGTCTAGAACAAAATCTACCTGTAAAGACAATTAATGTCATTATTCCTGGTCTTAACCTTCTTCAGTGGCTTCAAATGGAGCATGACTTCCTTGAAAATGAACTGACAAATTAAGATGAGTCTGCCTGTGTATACAGCTTTTGTGTTTACATGCTATCTGAGTAATGTTTGAATAGGCTAATTAGCAAGCTAATTGCATTTTGGTTACGTGAGACGGAGGTGCACAGAGAAATGTATACGTACACACATAGTGTCTTGATTACAGGAGACACTGGGGAAAAGTCAACACAGGATTCAGACATTTTCAATAGTGTCACTTGCAATAAGTGTTTAAACTCTTCAGCACAAGCAAATATTTGGTTGTACAGGGAAACAAACACTTTCTGTGCTGCCTGCTAAATGCCACATCTCAAAAACTCCTGCTACCTTTTCTATTACTAGCCAATTTCTTATCAGAATGAGAAGACTGCATCCTAATTACAATTTGAAAATGTCAGCCAAAGACAATCTTTTTGACCTGCTGTATGATTACCCTTATGCTGTATGTTGATATTGTTGTAATAAGCACTTAAACCCATTAAATACTGTTTTCTAGATAGGTTTTCTGCATGACGAGACCAATAAACTTTCAAATGTAAGCACATTCAAAAATTTCTACCATCCTATCAGTACAACTGTTTTTGCTTTATCCCTGAAAACTCTTTCTTTGACAAGAAAGGAGTTTCTCCTGGCAGCATTAAGAGCCAAGTTCACATGCGGCTTGATCCATCGGAGACACTGCAGGAGCCGGTTACTGTACTATATTTCAATAGTCCAGACACCACTCATTAAAACAGCACATAAGACTAGTCACAACTGCAGCACTTTGATTTACATGCAGTTAAAGCTTCTTGTGAACCCACATAAACCAGACGGTGGGAGAACAGAGGAGAGGATAGCAGAGGAAAGACGGGAGAGGAAATTAAGGAACATATCAGACACCAACAAAGAAGAGAGCAGATGTGCACAGCCACCGGGTGCAAAAAAAAGGGAAGATGGGGACAGAGAAGAGGAAGGTAAGGAAGAAGAGCAGAGAGGAGAGGTAAGCCATCATTTAGCAGAAGTGATGACACAGCACATTCATCTCAGTGGCAGGTGCCTGCTGTTGCTCCTTTACAGAGGACACAAGCTGCTGTGCACTAGCATTCCACTGTTATAACACTGTACCACAGCGAGTCAGGCTGCTGGAGCACAGACTCAAAAATGCTACTGATTGTAAAAATATTACTGCTGTACACATAAAAGGCTTTAAACACAAGTCTATAAATAGATCACAACTATGCTCTATTTGCAGCATTATGTAATTATAATTTGTTGCTTTTTTAAAAATCAGTCAGATATGTGTTGATGCTTTAATGAGTTGATACCATACATTTTTCTAGATAATCTGGCATTTTTTGGGCATGTTCCTTTGATATTTACACTTAAGATAACAACACCTAAAATACTAATACAATAAAAAAAAGTCTTCCTCTGCTTGATGAAATCAATCTTTTCTCCATTTGTTCAACATTCAACTAATCTCAACTTCATTTTTCTTATAAGAAATTGTGTAGCTGAGACTATTGACTTGTTTCCTTTGATGCTGCATTTCGGTTATGTAACCTTACGGTTAGTAAATCAGTGCTTGTAGCCTGCAGTCATTTGATATTTCTATTTGAGAGCACTTCTCTATAAGGAGGCAATGTGATGGATGTGTCTTAATAAAGAAAAACTGGTCAAGTACAAAGCCATGCAGCCAAGAACTACACTTAAACATGTGAGTACACAGCAATAAGCCAACTATAACTCAAATAACCAAACATGGTGATGAATTATTTTATGAAAACACTCAAAACACACACTAGGCATCTACTGTGGGTGGCTGTGTCAGTGTGTGATCATTAACACATCACTCAGACACACAAAAGGTTTCCAGGCCTGTTATACGCAAGGTTGGTTAGTAAATAACATCATGACAATAAGAGGGAAGGAGAGGAATGAAAGCGAGAAGAGGAGCGGATGGTGCAATAATAATGAAAGCAATAAAAGGAGACCCATTTTCCCAGATGTGATCTGTGCCTCAGTCAAGGCAGACAGTGTGGATGTGTGTTCGTGTCTTTGTGTATGTTCCCATTGAGCTCTCAAATGAGTCAAAATGAGTCACATCATCTTATCAATCACCCACTTACAGTACAGCAATTTTTTTGGTTTTGTGTGGTTGTGTGTGTGTGAGTGCTTCTGCTAGCTACATAGTGAGGACTAAAAATGGGATGCTTTGCTATAGAGTGAGGACATTTTTTGGAAAGTGAGGACACTTTGGCTGGTCCTCACTTTCTGAAATACCCTTTTGAGGGTTAAGAATTGGTTTTAGAGTTCAGGTTAGAATTAGGTTTAGGTTAGGTGTTAGGGGAAGGGTTAGGTTTGGGCATTTAGTTCTGATGGTTAAGTGTTAGGGTGAGGGGCTAGGAAATGCATTATTTCAAAGAGTGTCCTCATAAAGATACAAGTACAAGTATGTATGTCTGAGTGTGCGCGCATGCTTCTTGAGGTCAGGATGAAGTCGAACATAACTGCAAAGCAGGCCCACACACTTTTCACCCACTGAGTAACTGATACAATTCACACTATAGTATTATAGTCGTATTCCTTTAACACAGTCCTTGCATTGTCTTGCTGCTACAGAAAAACATACGTATATACAGCAGAGTAGACAGACACAAAGGCAGCTACTAGTCATACTGAAATAAAAACATAGGACTAAACACTACTGTAACCATTTCTCTATTTGGTTCTGATCAATTTGACAGTATTGAATAGTATCAACATGTCATCTGGGCTTTCCTCTTACTGAAAAGATACAGCTGGCTTGGTTGTCAGTTACGCACAGCATCTTTCCAGCAGATCAACAGCTGGAGGTGCTCAACAGAATATGTAAACACACTCATGCATGTTCACACACTACACGTCCCTCCCATACTCTCTTTCCATGTGTAAGTACACATTATCCCCTTTACTTTTACTATTGTCCATCTACCATCATACATACTGTAGTGTCACACAATCAAGGTTGTTTTCAAACAAAACGTGCCACACAGAGACACGACATGTTGTAACACAGACAGATCACGACTGCCAATCACAAAGGAAGAACAAAAAAGTCACTTACAAGAGTTCCTTTGGCTCCTGTCTGTTGCACCAGGTGAGGTGGACATCCCACCAGGATGTTTGTTGCCCTCACAAGATAACCAAATGGGACGGAGGGGGGAGGCGGACAACACAACGATAGTACACCAAAAACTCCACTGATCACAACACCAGCACACCACGCATCCTCTCGCTGTCTTTTACTCTGCACACACGCTTCTCCATACAAGGCACTCCAGAGATGTTCACACACACATTCTCCTGTAGATCAGCTGGCACATTAATTCACAACCAGATATGGAGCGTTCAAGAACCAGGCACCCAAGAAGCACATGTGTATGTGCATGTATGGATCGGCGTTGCACCAGTGTCTAGCTCCGGCGTGCTGAGGCTGACAGTGGAGGGAGAGAGAGAGAGGGAGAGAGAGAGAGAGAGAGAGAGAGAGAGAGAGAGAGGAGCAAAGACAAGTGGAGCATACCACTAGCTGCTGCTGAGCGACAGAGAAGGGGGAGCTGGAGGAGAGAAGTGAGGATGAAGAGGGATGGGAAAGAGGGTGTGTGTGCATAAGCAGGAAGGGGAATAGAGTACAGATCAATGAGTCTGTGTCTGAACATGTTGTTATAAAACATGAACGCATTAGCAGACGACCTCTGAACATGCACTAAATGCCTCTTAACCCTGTACTTCATCTTCATATACCTCGTTATGTTTGCATGAGTAAGTGTCTGGAGGAGCAAGCTATTTTCATAAACAGGTATGAGTAACTAATAAAGTGGATAAAGCAAAGCATAGAGAAAAGGGTTTTCTTCATGGCTTTTATCATATATGCGCACACACACACACAGCCTTACATAAAAATCACACTTTTGTAGGAGAAACACAGTCGTGCACACACCCACTCTGTCTGCCTCTACTGCCTGAGGGGGGGACATAACAATCCTCCTGATTAGCATGATGCTGTGAAGAGCATCACAGTTCCATCTAGCACTGTCACCCTTCTCTCATGTCCCTTAGTAACTCCTCCCCTGTCTTTTTCATCTGAGATGCCACAATTTTCCGATTCTTGTTAAATGCAATTGATGGGACCCAAGAAAGACAATTCTAAGCAAGGCTTCCGCAAACATGCTAGTGCCAGTGATTGGAGCATTATGGATTTTCAAATTATTGTGTTTGAAATAAAGTATGCTGTTTGCTTACAGATCAGTGCAGTAGAGAAATATGAACTGAAAGCTGGTCTAAAATATAGAGCTACAGGGCAACCAAACAACATATGATTAAGAGTCAAAAAGGGTAGTCAGTCATTTTGAAGCAAAATTAAACCCTCAAGCTTAAACACACACAGCAAAAGCCACAGACTGCCAACAGTAGCCATCATCTTTATGACACATCATAGCTCTCAATGCCTGCTGGGTTGTTGTGCACAAATAATAAGATACAGCCACAATCGATAGCATTTGGATACAGCTGCACCAGTCACACTGCAGGAAACAACAAAAATATCATATCCTCCATAAACAGCTATGGATTATTTGAACTGCGCCATGGTATGGATTGTAGGAAGGGTGAAAAGTGCACCAGTTAGACAATATGACATCATGCAGTACAAGAAGACCAATTAATAATTTATCGCCACTCTGATATTAAGAACACGAGAAAAAAAGCATATGACTAATGTTACCAGTTAACTCAGAAATAACTGCACTAATCAACTAAAAGACCACAGGAACTCAAAGCTTAGCAACTATTATGTTTAGAAGTACCATTGTTCTTAACATTAAGAATAATTAAGTACCTTTATTACGTAAAATAAAAGGTACTGTTTTGGCTTATTGTATCTTTTCAGTAAGAGGAAAGCCCAGATGACATGTTGATACCATTCAAATGTACAGTATTTGAATATAAAAAACAAGTCCACAAAAATTAGATGCTATAAAACTCAATTCAGTTTTCTTGACTCTATGAATGCATGGCCAATAGACACACTGGAACCGGATTAAAGAAATATTTTTAAGGTTTTAACCAAAATGTGTAAGATTTAAATATGAGAGATGGTACCATACTTCCAAACCTCACTATCCCCAGCACTCCTAACCAGTGTCTAACGAAAATGCCTTGAGTTGTGGAGTGTGAAAATGTTAACCAGTACATAACCGTTATAGGCCAGCGTGGAAGTGGGCGGCAAATGCCTGATTCATCGGCCATGGGATGGGACCTAAAAGCACTTTTTTTTACCCTAACAAATAGATACATCAGATTTATTAAACACTGGTATTTCTCTAACATCAGTCCAGCAGGAGATAAATCCAAAAAGAATAACAGTAATTACTGAGGGGAATAAAAAAAGATATTTATGGACTACACAGAAGATGCAGTGTGCTTACATTATAGGAATCATTTTAAGCTGTTTCTGACAATTAAATGGGGTGAGAAAAGTTAATTTCCCAGGTGAGTAACCTTTCATGTTTGGTTGCCAACTGGTCTGAGACTGACAGTACCAACCACTCTCTCCTGTCATATCAATCTCACCGTTTACAATGCAGCTGAGTGAGACTGTGAAAATAACCAAGCCAATCAAAATGGTTCATGTGCATTGATAGATAAAAATATTCCTCAACCACATTTTTACTGTCAGCTAAACATGTAAGTAGGCTTAATGTTTGCAACTAGACAAAATTTGGCGGTCCGGAAAAGTGTGGGCGTACACAGAATTTGCATAGTAAACTTGATGTAATGTAACTAAAAGGTGGATACAGTGCAAACTATGAAAGTACCTACAAATGTGACTCACGGAATGTGGCTGCATTTAAATCCAGTGCAACCCATCCATCCATCCATTTTCCTCCGCTTATCCGGGACCAGGTCGCGGGGGCAGCAGTCTAAGCAAAGATGCCCAGACTTCCCTCTCTCCAGACACTCCCTCCAGCTCCTCCAGAGGAATGCTGAGGCGTTCCCAGGCCAGCCGAGAGACATAGTCCCTCCAGCGTGTCCTGGGTCTTCCCCGGGGCCT